CATTAAAACATATCTTTATGTTTATTCTTCTGGTTTTGATGATTATGTTTCAACAGTAAACTTTGATTATTAAATCAGCTGTTTCCGATCAAATCAACAACGATACTCGATGCAATGAGATGTTTTGAAATCAACAAGTTTTGAAAACTTTCATGAATCCTTTAACTTGACTAAATTCCTGTTTGTTTTGTTTGTTTCGTCATTGATGGCGTCTCAGTGCGATGTCGTGCTGGAGCCCATCTCCATCTCACAGATGAAAGGTAAATACATGTGGCAGGGAGCGTCGTACCAGCTCTGTGTCGCCACTCGCTCCAGCACCTCGGTTTTCACGATGTAACCRCAGTCCTCGTTGATGTGGTTGTTGGGCTCATTCGGCTCCCAGAAACTACAGTTAGAGAAAGGCAAAGACAATCAGACACAGTTTACATCTGTGACACATTTTTTAATTAAATCCTTCAGATCAAAGTGCTGAAGAAAGTTTCAAATGTGAAAAAATGATAAATCTGAAGGTCAGCACACGAGAACAAAAAAAAAGGAAAAGAAAGGAGGAAGAGAAGGTTCAAGGGGCAAAAAATATTAACAAAAACAATGAGTCACTAATGTTTTTACAAAATGAGGAAGAGAAATCCGGTGATCATCAGGAAAATATGTTCAGTAAGCAAAAGATGGAAAATAAATAATAGAAAGAAAGAAGAACGTTAATTTTGTTCAAAGCAGAAGTGGAACAAGTGGAGCAACTGTGTTTCTGACAAAACAGAAAAATAAATAACTTCAAAGAACAAAATATTTCAGGCAGGACTTCTTTGTTTTTACAGCTTTYATGTTGATCAGAACTACAGTTTTCAACAAAATCATAAAAACAAGTTTGAACTGCACTTCTGCAAAGGAAGTTTGTGATTTTAGTTAGAAATATTGAGTCTTTRATGCTGAGAAATACACCAAGTGTGTGTTTATGACACAAAATTAACAAGAGCTTCCTTCACACTGGGTTTGAGATTGTTTTTATATTGACCTTGTTTTTTTATTGTTCTTGAATCAAACAGTAAAGGAGGTCAAACACTGAAAAAACCTTGAACAAATATGTGTGAGAGGACAGTTAAACAGTGTTGGCAAGTGTTTGTTGACCAAAGTGAGCAGAAAGAACTGAACAAGTTAACTTCTGTCAGAGTCCACACACTCTTTTTTTATATACAAAACAGTTAGTTTAATCAAGTTTTAGTATTAAAAGCTGAATGCAGAATATTTGTTCAATAGATTAGTGGCAGCCGCATTAGCATTCATTCGATTAGCGTCAATAATTTAATGTTAGTCTGGATTCATAGCAGCCTAACAGTTCTGCTTCTGACCAGGATGTGAAAAGCAGAAACCCACCCTCCAACCAGAGGACTGCCATCGATCCACTTCCAAACATCTTCTGTTTCTCCATCAGTGATTCCAAACCAGTAGCAGTTCCAGTGTCCTCTGGGCAGAAGATCCCACAAAAAGGTCTGAAAGTAGAAAAAAGAGAAGAAAAATCTTGCTTTATGTATGTACTGTGTGATTCAGTGAAGATCGATAAAAAACACGAACAGTTAGTCAACATTAAAGTAGACAAATCATGCTTTTACTTTCTTTTCATATTTAAATCATTCAGTCAGGGGCTTTATAAAGTGGAACTACAATGATTTGGTCTGAATTCATTCTTATTCTAACTTCACCAGCTCCTCATTCTCCCATTTTCTGCTGTGTGCCTCAAAGCAGCTCCTTTTGTTACTSTTCCTTTAAGATGTTCAAGCCCCGCCTCCCTCCTGCTTCCAGACCAATCCACTCCGGTTTGAGAGAGGGGATTACATTTTCTAAGTGGTGCAGAAATATTTTGTTYGTCCCCTTTAAAAGATCTTTTAATGTTTATTTAACTTAAAGGTATTTACAGTCTTGTAAAATAAAGTTAGTTGTATCATATTTAACTCAAACAAGTCATTAAAGTGCAGTTTGGGGAAAGACCTCAGTGATATAGAACCATTGAACAACAAAGAACATCATGGTGTCAGYACGTTCTGAACTTTAGGGAAGCCAGAAATCAAAATGAATCATCGAAAGATGCTGGCTCAGATGATGGAGTAACATGCATGTGCCAATGGACCGGATGCTACAAAAACAACATATTACAACACACACACACACACACACACGCACGCACGCACGCACGCACGCACGCACGCACGCACGCACGCACGCACGCACGCACGCACACACACACACATACACACACATCCTTGTTTACCTACCTTTGCAGGACCCAAAGTTTTTTGGTGAGTTGTGGGGTCCACCTTTTCTAGTAGTGCTAGAATTCTGAGACTTGCCCCCAAATATCACCAGAAACAACACCCTCCTCCCCACACACAGACACAGCTCTGATCTCTGTTCAGAGCATCATAAAGAATTTAGAATAACATGAAAGTTGCAGCTTTACAGCTGCTGYCATCGTGTCTCACCTGCTCCTCAGCTGTTAGGATTATGGCCAGGTGAGCTCCYACAGTCTTGCAGTAGTCCTGACTTCCTTGCCAGTTTCTTGTATTTCTGGAGATGAGGTAGCAGCTGTTGTTGAACAGGTGCCAGTCCGWGGGGCACACAATAGGTGCCTTTGTTCCTTCTGGTGACGGTTTGATCCATAAGAACCATTGACAAAAGAGAGAGACAATAAAAGTTAGCTTTTTGTATTTGTCGGAGCCAGAAATTAACATGTAATGACATTCCCTCATGGAAATGCAAAGTTTTTTGTTTTAAAGTTGAAAAATACCTTATTATTTTGTTATAAATGGGGTCTTAATGAACTCCATGAACTGTCTTTTTGAGCTTAGCTAAATAGAACATCCCAAATATCCAAACGGGTGACCTGTTTTCAGTTATTTTCCTGTGTTGCAGCAACAAGAAATAAGATGTGTTTCTAAATAAGCTGCTTGCCAGTGGCTTTTCACTCATTTGTTCCACTAAATACAGAAACACACAGTTTGTTCTTATGTTTGATCAGCACAGTTTTAGAGATTCCAACAAATGCTATTTTTGACTTTTATTAAAGCACTAAAGTTTCAATTTATTTTTCTATACAGAGACAACGTGCAACATTTCATTAACTATTAAAAGGAGAGATGCAATGGTGCCAGGTTATAGCAAAAAAAATGCATATTTTTTAAGGTTATAGTTAGATCCAAAGTCACACCTAAATAGGTAAATTCATCAACATTTTTATTTTTTCCCCATCAATATAAATATCTAGATAATTTATCATTTTTCTTCTATTTGTAAAAACAYTGCAAGTGTATTTCCTCTATTTAAAGCAAGACTAGATTTTTACAACTGTTTATTGATGCCCTTCAATTCTTCTGCTAATCTCAAGGCCACTTCTTCAGCATTTATTCTATGAGTGAATAAATCAGTTTTATCTGCATGCATGATAATTTTAGTGTCACACACCGATGGAAGATCATTGATATACAGACTAAAAAACAGAGKTTCTAAAATGGAGCCATGTGGTACTCCCATGACACAGACTTTATGGGAAGACAGTGTGTGGWTTACTCTAACACACTGCTTCCTGCCAGTTAGATAAGATTTTAACCAATCCATTGTTCCACTACAAACAGAGTAAACATTATGAAGAAGTTTATATTTGATGTAACATTCTGATTATTAATGATTTTGTTGGACAGAGAACACAGTGGTGTGTATAAACATACCATTTTTGTTGATGAGAGCAGTCAGRTTGGCCCTCAGCTCATCCACCCTTTTGTGCAGACCTTTATTCTCCTCCTGTAGCTTCTTGATGAGGTCTGAGCTGTTTAAATTCCCCTTCTGCATCTCTGTGGTTGACTCGCCACCGCCCTGAGGTTTGTTCTTATCTGAAGGTRACGTTGAAGAAAACAGATGCGATTCTTTAAGTAATGAAGGTAGCATTACTTGAAGGTGCCAAAGACTCTAAAAGGTAATCYGTGGTGAGAAGGGGATGGTAATACTCACAGTGAGCGGTGACAGCTATGACGGAGATCAGCAGCACGGCGCAGAGCGCAGCCAGGCAGATGGTGGCGAAGCGGTACGGACCCGGACCGCTCATTCTGGAGGGGAATCTTTCAGAGAGCACCGGATAATCTGGAGGTGATGTTAGTTTGATTTGAGAAGCCATAAAACTATCGTGTGTCATTTAAACTGATTATTCAACCTGATGTAATCAAACACAAACATCTGGCCAACAACAAACAGCTGTTTTCACTTCTAGCAGATTTTTAGATGAACTTTATATCTTAGCTTTACTAAGAGATGAAGGTCATTTGTGGCAAACTTAGTCAGAAGCTTCTGTCTCWGGTCAKCTGTCCTGTATGTRTCATRTAAAAYWCATGTATCTGTWTCAAACCATTCAGTGCTTTAGGCTCAGTWYGTATGGARCAATAYAGATTTTTAACATTTATTTGATCAACTTGTCTTCTGAAGATGCTCTGTGTTGAWGGATCTGTGGATCTGTGTTYGACTACTCCRCCTAGGCTGYGTTGTTGAGCRCAGCTCCATGAAAAAACTTGCTGTTTCTGCAASATTTAATTTAAAAACTGGACTTTTGAGGTTACACAAATGTTTATAATTAATTTTAATAAMTTACAAGGGCATGGACTTTTTTKKWTTKRAAARKWWTKRA